TTAGCCAGATCAGAGATAAATATAGTAGGCTTATTTTTTAAATATGCTTATATTTTTGTTTAAAAGTCAAACTGTTAGGGAAGCAGTCCTAGCAAATTGGTGTTCAAATTTGCTCCTTACCCACTAAAAACTAGGAATCAAGAGGATTTATCTTGTTTGCTTTGCTGATACATGTATTGTTCAAAATTAGAATTTGACATTTTGACCTTGAGATAGAAATTCACCGAGAATTAGACATAGCATGAGATGGGTTGCATTAACCCTTTTCCTCCAGCAAGATGTTAATTTGTGAAGATAGAAAATCAGAATGCATTCATTCTTTCGTTTATGTAACAATACTTATTTATGAGTTTCTCCTATAATGGGGTATGGGAGTATTATCATCATAGATAAGACATTTGATAACTTAATCTTAGGTTAATGTAAGTAACAAGCATGCAAAGTAAATAATATACACGCTACAAAGTGATTTTATGCATATGGAGGGGGATACGGCTCTGGTTTTGCTGTAAATCACCATTAAGCTTCCAAATCCATCCTTTGTCCTCCTCTCTGCCTTACCCTTTACAGGTGGTATTGCCTAAGTTTCTCTGCCCCTCTGGCTTTGGAAAGATAATGGGAGGAGAGAGACAAAGAAATAGTGATATGAATTTGCCCTACTCTATCAGACAAATTAATTTCTGCAGCTTTAAGACTACAGCTCTTGGCCTGGCCTTGGTGGCACATGCCTTTAATCCCAGTACTCGGGAGGCAGAGGCAGGCGGATCCCTGTGAGTTCGAGGCCAGCCTGATCTACAGAGCGAGTGCCAGGATAGGCTCCAAAGCTACTCAGAGAAACCTGTCTCGAAAAGCCAAAAGAAAGAAAGGAAAGAAGGGAAAGAAGGGAAAGAAAGGAAAGGAAAGGAAAGGAAAGGGAGGGAAGGAAGGAAGGAAGGAAGGAAGGAAGAAAGAAAGAAAGAAAGAAAGAAAGAAAGAAAGAAAGAAAGAAAGAAAGAAAGAAAGAAAGAAAGACTATAGCTGTCATGCTGCAGGGCAGCCTCCTGTGCTGTCCCCGCTAATGGTGTCTGGCAGCATCCTCCCTTCACTATAACCTGTAAGGGTGTCACCACCCTTTGTTCTTGTAACTCCCGACACACCTCTATTTTACTGATGCAGAGGGGAAAGGAACAACAAAGAGTAACAGAGATGTTACGTCGTCTTTACACACATATCCATTCCATGGGCCAGAACGTAACTAACCTAAAAACATGCCATTATTGTTGCTACCAACAGGTGGCGTTAGTAGACACACTTAGACATTCATGAATAGGATTCCCTCAGTTTGTTGGCTATTTCCATCTTTTGAAAATGTTTAAATATTACCTCTGTACCCGATAAGTGCAAATATATAAGAAAGTACTTGAAAACTATTTTGATGAGCACACATTTGCTTATGACTAAGGCGAGGACAGAGAGAAGAGACTTAATAGAATTGGTACATGGGGGGTGGGGTCAGGAATAATTTTGAAAGACAAAGAGTACACTGAACAAAATAGTAAGCTGAATGATAACAGAGAAATTCTTCAAACTGTGGCAAACTATTAGGGTGTGAATTGTGTTCCCTTTAGATTTGTGTGTTGAAGTCCTTACCCCCACGATGACAATTTAGAAACAGGGACTTTGAGGAGCTAACTAAAGATAAATGATGTCATAAAAGTGGGGTCCTAAGCTTTGAACACTCAGTCTTCACGGGAAGAAGAGATGCTAGTGGTTTGTGTGCACAGAGAAAAGCGCACATGATGTGAGAACATAGCCAGAAGGAGCTGCTCAATGTTTTAAAGATCTCGAGAAGCCTCCGCCGCAGAGGCCAACCTTGCCAGCCAGCGCCTTGATCTTAGATCTCTAACCTCCAGAATGGCAACAAATTCTGTTGTTCAAGTCGACCAACCAACCTGTGGTACCCTCCTACAGTACTGCTAGAGGACTACAGTCACCAGGTAACAAGAATCCAGAGTGAGGCTGAACACGCCGGCTAACGTAACACCATTTCCCAGAACTCTTCCGTCAGTGCTTGCGTTAGTCTGGGTCCTTTGAGAATCATCTGCCAGAATACATATGGATAATACAGACAAGATAGTCATTAGGGAAACGTTGGACAAGATGAAGGGGAGAAAGCTCCAGAAAGCAAGACTCTTCAAACGCTCATAGAGTTGTAACCTGTGAGGGGAGACGAAAGAAGTTGGTTGGCAGTGGTTCAGAGCACTGCCCAGTTCCAAGAAAGTTTCAAATAGATTTATAGGGAGTCTGCAAGTCCGAATCTCCCACCAGAGGCATTCCATGTTAGTATCCCTACCGTGCTTAGTCTTGCCGGAACAATCTGCAGGAAGCATAGCATTGGGATGAATATGGAGAGGAATCTGAGCCATAACAGCTGAGGTCATCAGTCACTATTCTTTGATAGTCATTATGCTTTGATACGGGTAGCAGCCACTGAGACCAAATCCTTCCAAGTTTGAAACCAGGGGAAGAATGCATCCTTCCCCCAACCTTCTGAAAAACTCTGAGAGTGCCCTGGACTGGATACATTTAAATCATTTGCCCACCCCTGAGCCAGGAAAAAATTCCATGTCTTGGTTTTCTCAGGTCTAATATTTCATGCGTCACTTCTATGTTGGGTTCTGTCATAAGAGCTAGTGAGCATCAAGAAGCACACTTTCTGAGACAATACATACATATATATGTGTGTTTGTGTGTACAACACACATATACAATATACACATATATATGTGTGTGTGTACAACACACATATACAATATATACACATATATGTGTGTGAACAACACACATATACAATATATACACATATATGTGTGTGTGTACAACACACATATAAAATATATACACATATATGTGTGTATACAACACACATATACAATATATACAAATATATGTGTGTGTACAACACAATACAATATATGCACATATATATGTGTGTGTACAACACACATATACAATATATACACATATACATATATATGTGTGTGTACAACACACATATAAAATATATACACATATAATTCTATACCCCCAGAACATACTTATTTTTAAGTATTTTTATTTCTTGTAGCTTTGCCCAGGTCACTTTCCAAAGGCAGAAGTAATTCACAGCTGTGCAAAGGTAGCTTCCCCACTCATGTTCACCAGCTATGTTAGTTTCCTTTATAAATCTTTGCCACCTGCCTCTTGTAGTGGATCAGTACTTATCCCTAGCATAGGAATGGACTTTGGGATCCCATTTCACATGGAGGGATACTCCCTCAGCCTAAACACAGGAGGGTGAGCCTAGGCCCTATCCCAAAGAATACGACAGACTCTGAAGACCCCCTATGGAAGGTCTCACCTTCCCTGGGGAGCAGAAAGGGTATGGGATAGGTAGAGTGTTAGTTCGGGGGGGGGGGGGGGTGGGGGGGGGGGGGGGTCAGGGCAGGAGGGGAGGGAACGGGCTTTGACAGGTAAAACAATCTTGTTTCTAATTCAAATAAAAAAATGGAGAAAAAAATGTTTGCCACCTGATTGATAGAAGATTATAGCTCATAACTACAGTGATTTACAGATGTCTTGTAGTAGCGATGATCTCTCCTCAGTACTTACTCCCTACATAAACTTTCTTTTCTAAATGGGGACCTCCTATCTCTGTTCGTTTTCCCATTTGCTTTTGTGCTCCTCTTGTTTGTAAACACACACTTCCTATTACAGCATAGAGCCCTCTGTTTGCCTGACCAAAAGACAAGGGCAAAGGAACCTGAACTCTTGATCATGTCTTTCCTTCCTCCATGTTTATGGTCAGTGTTAGATAGTTCATTGGCAAGACACAATATAGGTCAGAATGCCAGGGATATGGGAAGCCACTCCACTACCATTTTTTTTTTATGCAAACTGCACGAGGTTTTATTGTAGTTGTTTAATGAGCTAACACCATGTTAGTTCGGGTCTTCCATCCACCCACCATGGCAGATGGCTGGAAAGACCCTGCGAAGAGTCTGCATGCATAGAGATCTTAAGGGGAGTGTCTAGGGGTACGGACAAGCTCAGGATTGGTGTGCCTCCAGGCTTGGAAGGTTTGCCCTGTGTTGATTGGTCAACTGGTTGTTATGGCCCATAGGCCCTCCACTACCATTTTTAAAAACTAAACAAAATGGTCTTTTCTTAAGAGTACATTTCCATCACTCCCCCATCCACCTGTGGTTCTCTACATTCATACGAGTCAGAAATGTTCCAGTTTCAGTATTCCGGACCCACCTTCCCAACTCTGGCCACATCCTTTGCGTACAACTGCTATATTTCTGAAAGTTGATTTTTCAAAACACTTACTTTAAAAGGCAAATTTACAAAATTGCCATTATGGATTATACCTACTAAGTGAATGATTATGAAAACAAGAGAAGTTCATCTGTGTACTTCCTACAACACACCACCCATTGAGCAACTGCATTAGAGGACATCAGCGGCCCCCAGCCAGTGAAGGGCAGGACGGCAGTTTTCCGACCATGAGTTTTGAAGGGCAGGACGGCAGTTTTCCGACCATGAGTTTTGCTGCGGCGGTGTACCATCCTGAGAGAGACGAGAGAGTGGAGATTCATTTACATCCGAGGCATGCTCTCCAGAAGGGCGGGTTACTTTATATGCTATGGACACTGGAAATGAAAACCCAGTCCTTTCATCAAAAAATCAACAGCATAGAAGAAAAAACGATAGGCTTCTGGGGAAGGGTGGGGGCTGGGCAGAGAAAGAGACTTTCATGAAGTCCAGTGGACAAACAAACTGCCTGTGGCGTTCAGGGTCTAGTGCGCACCCGGAGTGCAGTCTGTCTCAACGTTCTCGTTCTAGCCTGAACATTCTAAGATTCTGCTAATTATGCTGGTGTGCAAGGGTCAGAACAGGAGGGCTGCGGGCTGAGGGCCCAGGGCTGGGCGGGGTCCTTGAGCAGGATCTAGTCCAGTGCCTAGAGGGCAAGAGGAGCCATGTGTTGGCCGAGGGCCTGGGCCCAGCTCCTCCTGCCAGTATTCCTCTCTCTAGCTCTCATCCAGCTATTTATCAGCTTCTCCGACCATAAATTTACTAAAACCCATCGCAACTGGAACCGTCGGTCAGAACAGATCGAAAGGGGTGAGTGACCTGTGATACCAGGCAGGGTGCTGTGACAGTGGCCCGCTGGCTTTTTGGTGGGA